AAACAGCAAAATGGCTGTCTGAGTAGGCCTTACAAATAGCTGTAAAAAGAAGAGAAGTGAAAAGCAAAGGAGAAAGGAAAGATATTCCCATTTGAATACAGAGTTCCAAAGAATAGCCAGGAGAGATAAGAAAGCCTTCCTCAACGATCAGTGCAAAGAAGTAGAGGAAAACAACAGAATGTGAAAGACTAGAGATCTCTTCAAGAAAATTAGAGATACCAAGGGAACATTACATGCAAAAATGGGTTCGATAAAGGACAGAAATGGTATGGACCTAACAGAAGCAGAAGATATTAAGAAGAGGTGACAAGAATACACAGAAGAACTGTACAAAAAAGATAATCATGATGATGTGATCACTCACCTAGAGCCAGCCATCCTGGAATGTGAAGTCAACTGGGCCTTAGAAAGCATCACTGTGAACAAAACTAGGGGAGGTGATGGAATTCCAGTTGACCTATTTCAAATCCTAAAAGATAATTCTGTGAAAATGCTGCACTCAATATGCCAGCAAATTTGGAAAACTTAGCATGGCCACAGGACTGGAAAAGGTCCGTTTTCATTCCAACCTCAAAGAAAGGCAATCCCAAAGAATGCTCAAACTACCACACAATTGCACTCATCTCACATGCTAGTAAAGTAATGCTCAAAATTCTCCAAGCCAGGCTTCAGCAATATGTGAACCGTGAACTTCCAGATGTTCAAGCTGGTTTTAGAGAAGACAGAGGAACCAGAGATCAAATTGCCAACATCCACTGGATCATCGAAAAAGCAAGAGAGTTCCAGAAAAACATCTATTTCTGCTTTATTGACTATGACAAAGCCTTTGACTGTGTGGATCACCACAAACCATGGAAAATTCTGAAAGAGATGGGAATACCAGACCACCTGATCTGTCTCTTGAGAAATCTGTATGCAAGTCAAGAAGCAACAGTTAGAACTGGGCTTGGAACAACAGACTGGTTCCAAATAGGAAAAGGAGTACATCAAGGCTGTATATTGTCACCCTGCTTATTTAACTTATATGCAGAGTACATCATGAGAAACACTGAACTCAATGAAGCATAAGCTGGAATCAAGATTGCTGGGAGAAATATCAATAACCTCAGATATGCAGATGACACCACCCTTATGGCAGAAAGTGAAGAAGAACTAAAGAGCCTCTTGATGAAAGTGAAAGAGGAGAGTGAAAAAGTTGGCTTAAAGCTCAGCATTCAGAAAACTAAGATCATGGCATCTGGTCCCATCACCTCATGGGAAATAGATGGAGAAATAGTGGAGACAGTGTCAGACTTTATTTTTGGGGGCTCCAAAATCACTGCAGATGATGACTGCAGCCATGAAATAAAAAGACGCTTACTCCTTGGAAGAAAAGTTATGACCAACCTAGACAGCATATTTAAAAAGCAAAGACATTACTTTGCCAACAAGGGTCCATGTAGTCAAGGCTATGGTTTTTCCAGTGGTCATGTATGGATGTGAGAGTTGAACTATAAAGAAAGTTGAGTGCTGAAGAATTGATGCTTTTGAACTGTGGTGTTGGAGAAGACTTTTGAGAGTCCCTTGGACTGCAAGGAGATCCAAGTAGTCTGTCCTAAAGGAAATCAGTCCTGAGTGTTCATTGGAAGGACTGATGTTGAAGCTGAAACTCCAATACTTTGGTTACCTGATGTGAAGAGTTGACTCATTGGAAAAGACCCTGATGCTGGGAGGGATTGAGGGCAGGAGGAGAAGGGGACGACAGAGGATGAGATGGTTGGATGGCATCATATACTCAATGGACATGAGTTTGAATAAACTCCAGGAGTTGGTGATGGACAGGGAGGCCTGGCGTGCTGCGATTCATGGGGTCGCAAAGAGTTGGACATGACTGAGCGACTGAACTGAATTGAACTGTCTTGTTCTGCATTGTATCCATTGTGCCTGGAATAGCATGTTACGTGTGGTAAACTGTCAAATATTTAATGAATAAATAAACTGTGCTCTGATGCCATCAGCCTTATGGCTTTGCTGTTCTCTTCACTTGGATTTTTCCATTTTCATGCCTCTGACATCATTGTTTTGTCCACTTAATATACCTTCTTTCCTCCTTTCTAAGTCCTGTAAATCAGTGCTACTTAATCTGTAGCCCATGGGCCGATAGCATGAGCAGCACCTACCGGCTGGTTAGAAATACAGAATCTTGGACCCCAGACCACTCTTACTGAATTGGAATCTCTGTGTTTTGTGACTTGGAAACAGATATTTACATGAGTTCTCCAGGTATTCTTCTATATCCTCAAGTCAGAAGTTATTATTTAGTCACTAAGTCATGTCCAAGTCTTTTGCAACCCATGGACTATGGCCTGCCAGGCTCTTCTGTCCATGGGATTTACAAGGCAAGAATACTGGAGTGAATTGCCATTTCCTTCTCCAAGGGATCTTCCCGACTCAGGGATCAAACCCACCTCTCCTGCATTGGTAGGCAGGTCCTTTATTACTGAGCCGCTTGGGAAGCCCTAGTCAGAAGACCTCAGCCATAATCAGCTAAGTCCCACTCTGGCCAACCTCTGCCTTCCTAAAATCATTCCTAAAAACGTAGACATCCACAAGCAACCATTTCTTCCCGTGAATTAGTAGTAGCCCCAGATTCTTTTAACCCCAGCCTGTTTTGCCTTTTTGATGTGTAATCATTGTTTCCTCATCCAGCCTGTGCGCTCCAGCCGGACAGTGCATGCTGAAGGCAGTCAGGAAACACTTGACTGTTTTTTCCTTTTGGTCATGTGTGGTACAGTTTTGGAACATGACTGTCCCTATTTGACTGCCTGCTTCCCCGTGAACTGCATTCTTGCTTCAGTGTGGAATCCACCACTCACAGTGGCAGCATGGGACCCTGCCTTATCCACAGACTCTTGACTGTAGAAATCCCAAAGCACTTTGCCTCACAGCAGCCCAGAGTAAGCCCTGCATATGCCAGAGCTTCTGCTGGGTCTTCCACCGTGGTCACCTCTAGCCAGTTTGGAGCCCCCATTGCATCCCAGTCCCAGGTTGTAGCAGATGCCATCAATTTTTTCATTATTTCAAGCATACTTTTTATTCATTGTCCCTCTGCCTGCCTGAATGTTGGTAATAGTGTTATATTCCTCACTGATGGTGGGGAAAATGAGAAAATTGGTTGCTATTGTCTTACTATCTGTAAAAGAAAAGCACGTCTTTTTTTTTTTTTTCTTCTATGGTAGAAGTGCTCCAGAGAAGTGCTCCAATTTCTTTGTCAGCTTTTAGAGATAATTTTTATGAAGATTAGAAGCATTCAACTTTTGTGAGAGAAAGGAGAATAATAAGAATTAAGGGGGGAAAAAAACCCACCTCTCTCTGCTGACCTATTTTCCCCTCCACAAATTATCTCTCCTTCATGAGTTCCAGAGTTTACACTAAATGATTCTTTGCTGTTTCTTTAACCAGCAGCAGGGACTTTAATTTCACAGGGTTCACTCAGAGTTGATGCTTTTCAGACTTTGGGTAACTAGTTTATATTCATTCTCCGTTATTTTGGATTAAAGTGTAATCTTAGGACCTAAGAGTTCCTTGCATGGTTATTTTTGGAATATGGAAGCTTTTGAAGTGTTTAAATCAACTCATCTTGTGGTTATTCGCTGAATATCTAGTAGGTGGCCAGGAATATGTTAGACTCTCTTATTTGTGCAAGTATCTGTGTACATGCAGGAGAATTTATCAGGGGCAGGAAAGAAGCATGAGATGTGATACCTTTCCATCTTGCTAGGGAAGCAAGCATACCACAGTTAGACCTGGGTTTGAATTCTACTTCTTTGAATAAATGCGTCATCTAGTATAACTCATTTAGTTCCTCTGTGCTATTATAAGCAAATGTGAATAAAAATATGTGATGCACTGTGCTTGGAGAACTTGATGTCTGTATGTGTTTGTGTGTGTGTATATATATATCTCATAGTCTGCACTTATAAAACAATACAAAACAAATCCCCTGCACAAAAATATATAGCTTTATAAGTTATTGTGATTTAAACACCAAAAGCAATGTATTAAGAAAAAAGTGTTTTTCACACCGTTTCCTACTCTTGATGTTCCTGGGTTTGCAATTTGATTTTTGCCAACTTGCTGTATATTAAGTAGTATCTTGATGTTGTTGTTAATTAGTATTGTCTCAATTGCCATTTAGCTTTATTACTTGGTTTCATGGCAAATATTATCCTACATGTAAAGATAACTTTTCAGATTATAAACGTAATACTTATTATCAGAAATTTGAAACTCCACTGCCTGAGGGTCTCCTTATAGCTCAGTCAGTAAAGAACCTTGCCTGCAAGGCAGGAGACCTGGGTTTGATTCCTGGGTTGAGAAGAACCCCTGAAGAAGGAAATGACAACCCACTCCAGTATTCTTGCCTAGAGAATCCCATGGACAGAGAAGCCTGGCAGGCTACATGGAGTTTCCAAGTGTTGGACACAACTGAGTGACTCACACACACACCATTCAGATTCTGGTGCATTTTGAATCTTTCAATCTGTTTTTCTTTGGCATACATGATGATCTAGATTGAGATCACACTACATATACAATTTTGTACCCTAACTTTTTCGTTTAACATTGTATCCTGAGACATTCCTGTGTCATTAAATGTTCCATGAAAACATGCCTTTGAGTGGCTACTTACTAGTCCAACTTCTGGATATGCCACAACTTAAGTGACTATTGCTTGTTTCATGGTTTTTGACTATTCTAAGTAATGTTGACAGCAACATCTTTGTATTATATCTGTGTCAAGTTTATAATGTAAAGGACATTGGTGAGATCTAAATGTGGTACCTTTTTGGAAACCTACATATTCCATGTGCATGGGGTGGGTGGCTATAGGGGAGGCACTGTTTACAAGTTGGCATAACTCTCCATAGCTGGTACTTGGTTACCACATGATTCTGACAGTTGAGACCCTTCAACTGAAGAGTCCAAGAGCACTCACCTGTCTGGTTCTCTCCGCAAAGTCCTACTGCTACAGGTATCGCTGTGCTGCTCGAAGCCAGAACACACCTGACAGCTCCGCTTCGAATCTGGGATTCCGTTGTGCAGCTGACCACTTGCCCACCACGGGCTAAGAGCCAAAAAGAGCCTTCCCGAATCCAAGAAGTCGTGTCTACTCTGCACGCGGCTTCCCTCAGAAGGCTGAACAACCTCGTGTGAAGACTTCCCACCCCGAGGTGGGTTACATACCTGCCCAGTGGCCAAAGGAACCATATGGCGAGACCAAATCGCTGACCTGCATCAGCATGTGCGCTTTATTGTGTGATGTGTTTCATCTTTTACTTTTGAGAGTGTTTTAAAGAGGAAGGAGATGGAGGGCACCCTGAGCTCGGCTTCAGGAGGCCTGTGTGCTCCCCCGGGTCTGCCCGTGGGTTCGACCCCAGGGTCCCACTCTTGACCTTTCTGGGCCTCGGTGAGTTCATCTGTCCAGTGAGGGGATGCACAGTGTGATGTCTGAGGCTCACTCCCCACTCGCAGATCCTCTGGATATATCAGATTCTATTGTGATTTCATAGTGAGAATTTATGACAGATGATTTTTTAGCTATTTTTTCCCCATGTATGAACCTCGGGTGATACTAATCATGTGAAATAGTTGTTCTCTTATGTATTATTTTCAGAAAAGAATGGGGTGGGGTGGTGGGGATGAGTCTTTATATTCATACCGCACTTTGCTTTTTCAAGGAAATCAGTGTCTTTACATTGTTATGATGAATCCCACTTGGGCCAGCGATGGCATGCTCAAGTTCAGCCATCGGAACACGCAGGAATGTCTGTGGGGTGACTCTACTGTGCTTTATCTTTCAACATTAAGTGCCTTTGGTTTGGGGGGCAGCTGTAAGCCCTATTTTCCCCCTCTCCCCAAAGCCTTCGGTGAATGTGAACTGTGTGCTACACAGAGAAACCTGTTTAATTCTAGATGTAGGAGAAAAGGAGCAGAAACCTTGAATCAACTATATTCAAGGTCTCCAGTATTTTGTAATAGGGAAGTAGGAAATCCTGTTGTCTGTGGAGTATCCCATGCTTTGGATCGTGCACTATGTCGAATAAACTGGTATCTGCTAAATCAGGCTTCCGTCTCATTGGTTCCTTTTCTCTTTCACTCTATTAATGTCTTCTTTTTAAAAAATGACTTTGTGCTATGTGAGATGTATGTGTTTTTTTATGTAGACAGTTTTTTAGATATGCGTGTGTGTTGTTTGCTAGAAAACTTTTACATCGATTAGCTGCTTGATAACTTTGATATGGGAGTAATTTGTGGGAGTGTTTATTACAAAACACAAGGCTGTTCTGCCGGGAAGCTCATTATGACCTTGCTTCTTCATCCTCAGTAGATGAGACAAAGTCACGGGCAGTGCCTCCATCCCATAAAAACTGACAGGTGCTTCACATGCAGGCAAAGCACCTTGTTTCACAGAGATGGCTTCCAACCAGAGATCTTTGTCATCAGGATCCCAGCCTGATTCCCTGTTCTTTGAAGACTTCAAATTCATTCCTAGCCTATCGTTTGAAAGGAAAGACTCATCTTGAGGTTGGTTATTCAAAAACTAAGTCAAATAATATTCTGAAGGGTTCAGCCAACCATTAACTGCAACTTTTGCGCCTAGCCTCTTAATGTTAAAACGTTTATCTGAAAAATAGTCATGTTGCTGGGGTGTTTGTCCACATTTGTTAATCTGTCGATTTGTGGATATAAAATGTTTCTTTACAGACTTTCATCAAGTGATGATTAATTCAGGCAAAACAAACAAAAAGCATTTGCTTCATCGAAAAAGCTAATAGAGGAAATAAGGTATTTTATTCTTGAAGTCACCACTAGTCAAGCACAGTTTTTGTTTTTACTTACTACCTCCCACCTGCTTGGATTTTTCACATGGTTATACTTTTACTGTGTATATTTTGGATTCTTCTCTTGGTAATTAATGTTATATGGCATAAATATTTTGAGGTGTGTTTTGGCTTAGTCTTTAGAATTGCATTTTTAGCAGCAGCAGAATGTTAGAAAGCATTAAAACAAAATCCTAACAAATCCTTCATTTAAGAGCCACACTTCCAAGTTACTAGGGCTTCCCTGATAGCTCAGTTGGTAAAGAATTCGCCTGCAATGCAGGAGACCCCAGTTCGATTCCTGGGTTGGGAAGATCCCCTTGAGAAGGGATAGGCTATCCACTCCCATATTCTGACTTTCACTCACTCACTCCAAGTTACCAGCTACAGAGTGTACCAGACTATAGACAGTCATGGCCACTACACTTTATAAAATTGCATGTTGATTTATGAACAGGCCCAAGATCATAGTATAATAACTTTAATGCCGTATAAGCGTTCCTGAAATGCCTCACCTTCTGCAAAATCGCATGTGAAAAATAGGGAGTGAAAGGGAAAAAGAGTGGTGGGGTAGAGCACTCTAATCTTAAGGAACCTTGTAACCAGAGTACTAACAGCAATAGTAACTATCCTGGTAAAATCGGTAGCTCAGTTAAACCTGCACTCACATCTGTAGGCAGCATCACAACCCATCAGTCCTTTGCTGCCTTAAGCCATGGGGCTCCTTCATCTTTCTTCTCCAAGATGTAAGTTGTTAATCACATTTACTTCTTAAAATTATTCTCATTTATTTATTTATTTATTTTTACTGTGCTCGGTCTTCATTGCTACACTCGGTCTTTCTCAGTAGTTGTGATGAACTGGATCAGTTGCCCCTTGGCACATGGACTCCTGCATTGGCAGGCGGACTTTCAACCACTGGACCGCCAGGGACATCTGGCATTTGCTCTTTAACAGGTCACTTATGTTAGAAGTAAAGATCTGATTGTGGTTTAGACTTCTCCATCAGTCTTTTTAAGATTGGTGGGGGTGGGGGAAGCAGTATTTTTGTAGTATCTTCATTTGAACTCTCAGATATTCAGAGTTTAATTAACATAGGGCAAGTTTTAGCAATTTTGAAGCCACTAAATAAACCACTACTTGGGCTTCCATAGGATTAAAAAAATTTTTTTTTTTGAGATCTTCATATACTGCTTTAGTTTTCTATTAAATTGCAGGAAAGTTTACCCTGTTTCAAAACACATTTCAAATAACACACACCCCAACGTGACTTTTACAGTCTACCATCTTCCAATTTCTGTTCACTAATCACTTAAAAGCTATTTCTGCTTCTAAGAAATATACATTGTTGCAGAGCAGACTGCTTGGCTAATGTGTCAATACCAGTATTGAAAATTCTGCTTTTGTTGTTGTTTTTGTTTGTTTTTTTCCCCTCAGGAGTTCATATATTGGGTCTATGTTTCTTGTTCAGTTTTTTGCTCCTTTGAAGCATAGGGGAATTTTAAGATTTGTTCTCAAATTTGCTTTGGTCCTGAATTCTGGACAACCTTAATTTGTTTTAGGAACAAGTCTTGTCTTCTTTTTAAAGCTTTATAAACATGGTTAGAAGGTGGTAGGTGAAGGGGAGCTATGGTTGTGGTGATCAAGAGTGGCATTTCTTGATAAACATCAAATTACAGAGGCCTCAAACTCTGTGTGGTTCAGCCTACAACTAAAAGTGAAATACAGACCTGCATCAATGTAGACATTGTGTTTTCTTCATTTACCCCTCCCTCCCCACCTTTGTGTTTTTTTTTTTTTTTGGACAAAGTATCCCTGTTGTTCTCATGACTCTTTAGGAAAAGAAGAAATCAAAGATTCACAGATGCTATATGCTTTAGTAAGTGTTGATTTGGGCTGGGATGGTGTGAGATAGTAGTTCCAAACTAATGTGTTGGTTAATTCTGTTTTCCACTGGATTCTAGGCCCATTGCTGATCAGCTTTTCAAAACAGATCATGTTGTCAAGTTACAGATAAGAATTGTTGTTATGTGGTAAAATCTGTAGTTCGACTTAAGGAAAGGAGTATTTTTTGGGGAGAAAAAAACATGGAAATATGATGTTTTCTGTTCTGAGACTTCAGGAATTTCATACAAGAGACTAGTGTGGGATTTATTTTTTCTTTATAAAATGATATTTTGCTTGCATTTCTTCTTCCTCCTCTCTAACAAATACCTACCTTACTGTTGGCAATATTTCTCATCAGGGAGTTAACTTGCAGGCTGGCCATTGGCAGTCATAGGAGGTGCAGAGCCTGGCTCTTGTGGGAACAGGGGGCAGGTGAGAAGCAGGCTGAGTAGTGCCCATCCTTAATGTGCTGTCCCTGCCCTGCCCTCCTGTGACTGCCATACAGAAACGTGAGCCCAGACTTGCTGGATCATCCCAGTTTCTGAGGGTACCTGACTGTGTGCATTTTCATGTGAAGTCTGAGTTTTTAACATTGGCAACTAATTCAGATTAAAAAAAAAAAACAAATACTGTAGGACCTAATAAATTCTGTGCCCAGAATCAGCCTGTGGGGTGCCACTTGTCAACTGAAATTATGAAAAGTTGATTCATTTCATGCAGCACAAAAATCTCATGTATTTCTTTCTGAAAAAAGACTGATCAAGCAAATAAGTAACATACCAGTTAGAAATGTCCAAGTGTGAGAAAGGGCAGTGGTTTGCCCAAGGTCATTATCTTATCTACGTTTTTGGCAACAGAAACCAGTTTTGAGGAAGACAGTTTTTCCACAGATGGAGGGGGCAGAGATGGTTTTGGAATGATTTAAATACATTACATTTATTTGCTGCCGCTGATCTGACAGGAGGTGGAGCTCAGGCTGTAATGCAAGCAATGGGGAACAGCTGTAAATAGAGATGAAGCTTCGCTCTCTCAGCTGCTGATCACCTCCTGCTGTGTGGCCCAGTTCCAAACAGATCTCTGGCCCCGAGGTTGGGGACCCCGGCCTTAAGAAACCCCTCTCCTCCATCCCCATCCCACCCCACCTAAAATCATCTAACAGCCACAGACAGTCTCAGCGGTGCTATCAATTCATTTTCATTAACTCTGGCACTTATTAATAAGTGTGCAGACTAGTATCAGAGAATAGAAGAAATGTCAGTTTCTTATCTGTTGGTTTCACTTATTAAAATTTAATTGTCTGTAATACAAACTACGCCAGAGTAGGCCTTGTTTTTATAGGTTTTGCCAGAATCAGTCATACT